CCGGGGCCGCAGCCCCGGCCCCAGCCCAGCGCGGCCGCCGGCCAAGCCGCCCGAGGATGAGCCGGACGCCGACGGCTACGAGTCCGACGACTGCAGTAAGTTTCCAACTCGCCGACTTCTCGGCCCTTTCTTTCTTGTGGGTCCTGGCGGCCTCCCTGGCCTTGGTCGCTCTTTGGGTGCCCTCTCATCCCTCGTGCTTTCCCTTGGCATGCACCCCTAGCCCAGGGGCGGCCCCCTCGCCTGCTCGGTGCGCTCCCCGCGCGCCCTGCAGACCCAGCCCGACGCCCCACTCCCCCAGACTGGAGAGGTGGGAGTTTAGGGGCGCCCCCTGGGGGTGTCCCATTTCCAGGGTCGGGCTCCCCAAAGCCCGCGCCGCGCCCCCTCTCGGCCCCCACGCTGGGAGCTCCGGGGGCGCGGGCGGCGGCTTTTGTTCCCGGGAAGGGCGGAGCTGCGCCCCGGGGAGACACCAGTTGCTGCCGGCCGCGCGGTCGCTCCCCGCCCAGCGAGCCCGCTTCGGGCCAGCCCCGCGGCCGGGGGTCAGAGCTAGTGTGGGCGGGGCAGGGGGCCTGGAGCTGAGGCAGGGCCACCCTCCCTGGTGGGCCAGGCGGCCCGCAGGGCCTGGCGGCTTTGCTAGAGCGCTGGCCGAGGATCAGGAGGACCGCGGAGCCGCTTGTCCTTTGGAAAAACCTTGGCGGTGCCTCCTTCCGCGTCCATGGACCCCGCTGCAGCGCTCGCTCGGGCCGCCGACCTCGCCCACCTGTTACGCCCGCTCCCCGGGGCCGGTGGATTCCCCCAGCCCAAGCCCCCTCCTCCTGGGCTGAGCCCCCCGAGCCCTGGGGAGCAGACAAGTGCCTGAGTCCCTGGGGCCTCGGCCCGGTTGGGGGACACTCCTAGCGTCTTTTCCCGACCCTGGGGCTGCCAGCCCTGCCAGACCCGGGCCTAGGGGGGAAGCTGAAGCGGAAAGAGGTCGCTGCTAGGTGCGGACTCGGTTTGCACCGGGTGGGGGCGGGGATGAGGGGACGCTGCGTGCAAGGCCCTCAGCGCAGCTGTGGCCCCAGTCGCGTCACTGTCAGACCTGGAAACGCAGCATCAAACCCCAGGCTTGCCCAGGATGTGGACCTGGGGGTGGGGGTCCCTCGGGGGTTTCCGCCAAAGCTGCCTGGCCCTTTCCTTCGCGCCGCGAGGGTGGCCGAGCCTGGCATGGGCTCTCATACGAGCTAAGGGCTGGGAGTTTCCCGGACCCTAAAACGTGCCACTGGAAGCTGAAGGTGGGGGCTTTCCTGTGCCACTCTGGGGCGCAAACCCGTCATCGCCCTACCCGGGGAGGCCCATAGCCGCGGCGGTCAGAGCGCTGGCCTGTGTGGGGAAACTGCCTGTTCTGCGCTTTCTCCAGGCCTGGACCACAGCCCTTGGCCAGCACCTGGCATCTTGAGGCTCTGCCCGCAGGCATGGAGGGTGGGGAGCAGTCGTCCCCCTGCACTTACCTGCCAGCTTGGGGAAACTGGGTCGGCAGAGCTTATTGCCCGCAGGCCTGTGCCCTGAATCTTTCCTACCCCCAGGCTCCTGGCACCCCGTGCAAAGTGCACCCCCTCACTTGCTGTGGGCTCTGGCAGGCCCTAGTTGGGACCAGAGTCACCCCTTTGGCTGTCCTGAATGCAAAGCCACCCCCAGACGAAGGGGAGGAAATTGTTCCCATTTGCAGCATCTTTTCTGCTGGGCCAAGAGAGTGAGGGGGCAGGGCCGGGCTTCAGGCTACCTGCTTTGTGGCACACAGGGCACGCTGGATGACATACAACCAAGAAGTGAGAAATCTGGGCATATCTTTGGTCGTCCCTGAACCCACAGGCAAGGAGGGGACCAGAAAGGCCAAGCCTCTGCCAGCTGCCTCTTCTCCCTTCAACTCTTCAGTCTTTCATGGAGCGTTGTCCTAGGAGCAGAGGGGGTGCAAAGGGGAACAAGGCTGAATCCTGACGGGAACACACTCGCACGGGGTCAGCAGCACAACGCGGTCCTGGACACCGCTTTGCCAGTTTAAACTGTGGTCTGGCCCCACCTGTATCACCAGGGCACACTACAAAACCCTGTAAAGAAGGCCCAGAGAAGAGCTGAAGGAGGAGGTTGTGTGGCTGAGCCAGGGCCAGCTTGGCCCCCTTGTCTTCCTAAAGAGGCCGCCCACCTTGGGTTTGGATCCCATCAGGGGCTGAGCAAACAGCCCGGATGCGGGAGTGCAGAAATCTTGGCTCCTGCCAGCGGGCGGGACCAGGTTCTGGGGCAGGACAGCACCCCACCCAACCACCCCAGGCCATGCTCCCCTCTCGGCTCTGACAACCAGATCCCTAGAATAAGCCTAAATGATTCAAACCAGATGGTTCATTATGGCTTTAGCCAGGGTTATGCTATTTACTGCCCTAATTATTGGATTATCTCTGTTCTGACAAAAAGAAATTAGGGCAGTTGCTCTGTTGTCCAAGGCCGAGAGTAGAGTGCTGTTTATTTGCTCAGCCTTCTTCCTCCTCTCTTTAAATCCCATCCTTTATTAAGTCTCCTCAAGGCACGAGCACAAAACTCGCATGGTCCAAACAGATCTAACAGAGGAGTGACAATGAGGAGAAAGTGCAATGAAATGGAATTAGAAATGCCACCTGGTGCCCTCCTTCCCGGTTCTCCATGGTGCATTCTGGCTAAGCTGGACACACTGCTTGTGCCCGCCAGACGCGCCCTCTGCTCCACGCCCCTGCACGTACTCCTCCCCTGCCTCGGATGTTCTCCCACCTGGTCTCCACCTGTGGAAACCCAGTCCAGTCTTCAAAGATGTAATGACTAGAATGCTTTGGGGTGCAAGTAACAAAAAAACAACTCAAAGTGGCTTAAACAATAGAGGGAGCTGAGGTTGTGCAGCACCAGAGTGGGTTGATTTAGCAGCTCAATGGCATCGTCAAGGGTGATGGGTCTGTCTGTCTTCCCACTTGGCCATCCCCTTTTCCTCTTAAGCTGACCTTCCTCATGGACCAACGTGGCTGCTGTGGGTCCAGGTGTCACATGCAGCAATAAGGTCCTAATTCTGATAAGGGCCGGTTTCACTCCCATGTCTCAATTTAAGAGTGGGGGAACCTCTCCCAGAAGTCCCAGAAGACTTGTCCTCCTGTCTCATTGGCCAGAATTGCATCACATGCCCCTGCTTAAACCTGCCACTGGGGTCGGGGCAGGACTCCGTCCTCCTGGTGCTCATGGAGGTCTGGAGCAAGGATAAAGTGGAGGAACTGCTGTTGGGTCTGCACAGAGACCTTCCTCAACTCAGAGCATTTCCCAGTCCCCACTGGCAATGCTTTCCTCTTCCTTTGAGCCCAGAACCTCTTTTGGCCTTAATCATGTTCTGCCCACCTGTCTTCATATTTTTATTCATTCAACACAACAACGCCAACTGTGTCAGGCACTGTGCTGGGCACGGAGAGTCAAGAATGCCTGAGATGCAACCTCTGCTATCAAGTTCTCAGAAACAAAGCCAAATGAGTGGCCCAGCAGTGAATAACGGGAGGAGGAACTCAAACTGGGACCAGCTGCGTACACATAGCGCACCACTGAAAGGGCCCTACTCTAAGGCTGGGAGAAGGGAGGAAGCAAGCTGGCCAAGTGGAAAGGGGAGAGAGAGGGTGCTCCTGGCACAGGGACTGCCATGGACACTGAACAAAGGTGTAGGAAACAGCCGAGTTGAGATATGACAAGCAGAGTTAAGTGGCTGGAGCAAGGGGAACAGACTGATGATGAGGACAAAGTGGTCATATCACAGAAGGCTTCAAATGCCCAGGAGACAATGGGGAACCTTTGAACAAAATTTAAGTAGGGGAACAATTAGATTTACGAAAGTCCTAACCTTCTGCTACTAAGTTCCTGGGAAGCAGGATGCACGGCTCATTCCTCTTTGTGCCACTGAGCAGCGCCTGGCTCAGTGCTTCAGTTTCCCCATTTATGAAATGTTTTCAATTCAGGCTTGGTAATTATCTATGGTGTTTGTCACATATTTAAACTATTTGTGAGGCTGACATTTTTCTTCAAAAAAAGTCAGGGCAAACTGTACATGTGAAGATTGTTGAAATGGCAAATGTTTCGTTGCCTATATATTTACCACAATAAAAAAAAAATGTAAATAAATAAGCTGCCAAAAAAAAAAGGTCAGGGCAGACTTCCTGTTCCCAAGGGTGTGCGTGTCAAGAAAGTTCAGGTGCAAATCAAGGTTGTAATGATGCGGCCAATGTCCAGCACCCAGAGGGGGGTGACCGTCAGCCTTACAGGAACTTACAGGGCTTGAGCCTGGTTTGCTCTGAATTAGCCATCAAAGCTCTGTAATTATTGGCAAGCAGGTGACAACTCTCAAAGGTCCATTAGTGACCTACTCTCATTATATTTCCAAAGATGTAAACTTTGGCTGGGGCATGTGACTTGAGTGGCTCTAAGGGCAGGGCAGGGGTCTGTGGCTCACACAGAGAGATGCCTTCCCCTGCCCTGAGGGCCCTCTTCACCCCAACCACCAGCCCAGGGTACGTTTCCAACTCAAGGTCTCCTCCAGGGCAGCGGCGGAGCCCCCACCTCTCTTTCCCCAGAGAAACTCTTTTATTTCTTAGCTGCATCCTCCTAAGAGTTCAGTTAAACAAAGTGCCACAAAAAAAATTTTAGAAGCCACTACACTTTAAGGTAAAAGCTATCAGGATGGAAGTGAAGAGAGCTGGATTCGGTGTCCAGCTCTGCTGTGCCACCCTGACAAGGTTACTTCCCCTCTCTGAGCCTCATTTCTCCAATTGGGATGTGAAGACTGTGGACCACAAACTCCCTAAAAGCTTCACCACCTGGGAGCCTCTAAAAATTGTGACTGAGCTTCTATTTATAAACTATTATTTCTTACACGCCACCACCCGCCTGTCAGTTTGTCTTGCCATGGTGGCTTGCATGTTGATGTGATGCTGGAAATAATCCCACCAGTATTTCAAATACCTGAAGGGTCACCCATGGTGGACAAGTTTCAGCAGAGCTTCCAGACTAAGACTAGGAAGAAAGGCCTGGTGATCTACTTCTGAAAATTAGCCAGTGAAGACTTTATGGA